ATTTTAATATTTTAGTCTATAAAAATATGACAACAAACTAGAACTCACTAAAAACTATGCAAACGGTAAACTAAATGATTATGGTAGTAAATCAAAATTATACGAAACACTCACCTAAACAAACAGTAAAGAAAATTAAATTGAAATAATTCTGACAACACTTCTCGGTAGGGACAAAATAATTGTAATGAACACGTGCTCTTCGTTGTGTGTTCTAACGAAAGCTAAATTACATGAACTTAACCTAACCCTTTTATCTATGATTACATGGGATCTACTGCCACACTAACAGCTACGCTATGTTGCCGGTTTTATAATTCTAGGCTGCTTATTTACTGAAATTTTAAAGAGTGATCAAGTTTCCCATATGATCAAGTCTCCATCTTCTCTCCTACTCGAAAAACAAAACTACAACTATTGCAAAACAGCAAAAAGTTTGCGAAAAGTCGCAGTTTTGTTTTATTTGGCACGATTTTGTGTTTTGTTTTTGTTTTGTCCGTTTAGTAGAAAACCGCTATAAATATTGCTCTTTTAAACTGTTTTTGAATTTTTTTTTTTAATTTGATTATGTAAAGATAACTTATTGTATAGTATTTTATATCGGCATACTTTTTATCGGAGACAGAAAAAAAAAAGATTTTATTTAAAATCAGCAACCGCACATCACATAATTTATGGTCATTTACGAAGGTGTATTGGCGGTCCAAAGACCGGATGAGAAAGGAGTGTGAATGGTCAGCGATGGGTCTTTAAGGTAGTAGCTATGTCAAGTGGCTGCTGTCAAAATACCAAGCAACGTCCTAGGTGACACTAAGAGATCCTACCCGCGACGGGATGGGCAAAGGCGCGTTTCCAGAGCCTTTAATTTGGAACCCTTTGGCCTATTTATGACAACCTTAACAGAAATATCCCTGGCCCCTCAGGTTGGAGGCTGAGGGCTAACCCCTTACATGGTGAAAATCCATTGTTACGAAATCCAAAGTTAAATTTGTTGGACAGTACTCTCGACGACGACCTATGCAAGGACAAACACCCGCAAACTGTGTTACATATTAGTTACATAATCCAACAAAAAATTCTTCTTTTTCTGCTTCTACTTTTTGTGTGGACATGACTCTGTCTGTTTTTCAACGAGCTTCCTGTTTGTCATTCGAATTACATGATCGTTCCATTCTACTCTTCCATTTCTTACCCAGTCCTTGATGTTCTTCACCTTGCACCTCTGGCGTATATCTATACTTCTGTCCCATAGTGTATTACCATTGATTTTTTAAAGGTTTCATCTCTGCTATTTCTAGCATTCTTTTTGTCATATTTGTGGTAAGTCGTATTTTGCTGGGTATGCCATTATATATTTGATGTCTGTTTTGTAAATTCTGCCTTTAATTTCTTTCCTCATGTTTTATTTTTTAATATTGTTTCATTCAGGCAACATCATCTTCATTTTGGGAGATTAGTAATGCGTCATCTGCATAGCAGATGATTTTAAGTTATTTTTCCCCATGTGGTATCCTTTTCTAGTTCTTATTTTTTTATTATTTTATTCATAATTAGGTTGAACAATAGAGGACTTAGAGAATGTCTTATACCATTGCCAGTTTTAATTGGATCAATTAGTTCTTTTTCTACTTTTACTTTTATTGTATTGGTCTGATAGGTATTTTCTATCGCTTTAATTATTCCTACAGGTATCTCTCTTTGCTAAAAGTAAAAATTGGAAAGGAAAAAGTATATCTACCGCACATTGGTAAACATAGTCCCCACCATAACACCAATTCGAATATAAACTGAGTAGTCAGGTTTGCGGTAAACTCGGAGAAACACAACAAAATTATAAAGACCTTAGGCGAGAAAAGAAGTAAGTACTGGCACAGAAGGAAAAAGTGAATTTTTGAAAATGGAATATTGGAATAAATTGGGACGTTAAAAACGCAAAACTAAATTAGAAAATTTTATAAATTTCTGAATAATACAAGAAAGGAATTTAAACCAAGGCTGAGAATAAGTAACAATAAGGAGGGACATATACTCAATACAAAAGAGGATGTATTCGATAGGTGTCACTATCCACTATCTCCAGGAGCAAGAAACAGTATTCCATTACTTCAACAAGTATTACAACAGCAACCTCCTTCAATTAAAGAATCATGGAATATTATAAAACATCTAACAATAACAAATCTTTCAGGACGTGACGGTATACCTGCAGAACTTGTGGACCTAATTGTGGGGGCGATAGTTTTACTAACCAGATACATAATATAATAGTAAGAGCTTAGAATGAGGAACGGATCCCGGAAGAATGTTGCACTGGAATTGTTTATCCATTACATAAAAAGGGTTACAAATTGAAATGCAGAAACTATAGGATATAGGGGAGACTGGTATACAATGACTAATTTTTTAGGAAATGTACTCCTAACATCGGAATGCATTCTTCAAAAAATCTCTATTTAGAGTTCTGTTATCTGTGTACATTTGTTCATAAAATTTGATAGTTATTTTGAGTAAAGTAAAAATAGTAACTTGGAAATTTTCAGAAATATGCAATACTGAATTTGTTTTAATGTGTATGATCGGTGGTACAGTTTGAAACATAAGGTAGTATTAAATGAAACGTGTTAAAACAATGATTAAATACAAAAAATATTTATTATTTCTTCAAGTTACCGTACAATAAAATTATTAAACGTCAAACTAAATCTATAATAGCAAGATAGTCGTTTATTTTCTAAATATGTGCTGGCAATAACAAGTGCTTGGTCTTTTTTTAGGGAGGATCTTTTTTACAGCCTATGCTTAAAGATTTACAAATATTTCGTTTAACTGTCTTGGTTGTTGCTGTTGTGGGGATTTTCTTACCTTCCGTTTTATAAAAAAGGTCTTTCATTTCTGGTGTACTAGTTAAAATGACAGTTTTTCTTGATTTCCGTCTACGAATTTAATTTTTTCTGGGTGCGGGCTTAGGATATAATAAAAAGACTTTTTGATGTCGAAGTTATTTTAAGAGTTGAGTTCGGTTCAGATTCTTGGGTTTTATTAGATGTAGTAGAAGCTATATTAATATAAGCTGTTGGTAGAATCTCTTAATATAACCATACCTTTTTGTCCTTCATAGTTTTCAAAATCATCAATCTGTCTGTCAGAATAGAAAATCAGTTTCACTAAAAATATGTTTATTAAAAGGGTAGATACCTGTAGATACCCTGTTTAACATCAACATGGAGTAAGACAGGGAGATGCCCTATCAACCATGCTATTCAACCTAGTTCTTGAGGCAGTCATCAGAAAAACCAATATAACCGGCCATATAAACACCAAATCAGTACAAATTACTGCATATGCAGACGATGTAGCCATCATTAGTAGGAATAAGCCACGACTAATGGAAGTGTTCAAACAAATTGATCCTGAAGCAAGAAAAAGAGGTCTCAAAATAAACGAAGTATATGACAGTCAAAAGAATAACTGACAATGAAAATAATATCACAATAGACAACTATACTATCGAACGAGTGGATGCCTTTACATATCTCGGCACAGAAATCAATCAGAAGAACTCCGTAAGTAGCGAAATTAATGCACGTATTTCCAGCGGGAATCGTACATACTATGCTAATAAAAGATTGATGACATCGAAATTATTAGACAATAGAACCAAAATGACTATCTACAGAACACTGATTAGACCCGTGGTAACCTATGGATGTGAAACTTGGATAATGACGAAAAAAGATGAAGCCCAACTCAGGACATTCGAGAGAAAAATACTGAGGAAAGTATATGGCCCGGTACAAGAGGAAGATGGCACATGGAGAATCAGGAGAAACGACGAGGTTAATGAGTTAAATGAAGGTTATGACATTGTAAGATTAGATAAAAGTCAAACACTGTCATGGCTGGGACATGTGCAGAGACAAAACGATGCAAAAACAACAAAGAAAATGTTACAATAGAAGCCCATAGGAAGGCGAAAAAAGAAGGCCCAAAACGAGATGGTTCGATGACGTGGAAGACGACCTGAAAACAATGAACATAAGATAATGGAGAAGAAGGGCACAAGACAGATCTGAATGGAAGGACTTAGCCAGACAGGCAAAGACCCATTCAGGGTTATGATGCCAAAAGAAGAAGAAGAACCTGTAGATTTGAAGATGTTCATAATATTTTCAGGAGTCATTGATTTTGAGTGGGCAATATACTAGCACATTCTGTTGTTTGGTACAGTGTCATAGGAACGCCGGGGTGGTTAAGAAACCATCAATCAATCGCGCTATTGTAATAGTTTTGAAGGAAAAAAAAACTGATTTGTTCAAAGGCTGTGTCTTATTGCTTGTTTGTGGGGATAAGGTTAAAATTATTATGCCATTAGCTTTTGCTTTTTCTGCTATTTACAGAGATATATGAGATTCGTGATTGTCATATATTAATAAACACGGGTTTTCTTTTCTAGCACCAGTATGCTTTATAAAATGATCTAAGACTTGCGTGAATAGTTCGCGGTCATCCATCCATTTGGATTTGTCAGTCCTAATGTTCCTGGTGGAGCACCATTTAGCATAATCATATTAAATTGTTTACGAGGAAAAACAATGTCCGGAGGTAGAAATGTTTCATTTGCTCAAATTATTGCACAAGTAGTAGCGAGTAATCCTCTTTCGGCACTTTTGCACATTAAGGCTTTTTGTGCTTTACCGCCTTAATAGAAACCCTAGTATTGGTAGGTCTATAAAAATACACAGGATGCGGTGGCTAGGTCACTTAAACAGAATGAACAGATGAAGTCGTCGAAACACATTTCTAACCAATGATCAAATGTAGTGAGGAGAAGAGGCAGCGTATTGGAAAACCAAGGCAAAATATAGGAAGGAATGGAAGCTTATCCTAAAACAAATTAAGACTTATTATGGTTTGTAGAGCCAATAATGATGAGGATAAATAGCAATACGACTACATTAGCTATCTCCAATATATTGAAATGCATTCTTTATTTTTTTTAGTTGAAAAACCGCATCTTCATGTACGATCAGATCATTTTTATTTGTCTAAAAACGAAATCGAAGACGCTGTTCAGATAGCAAAAAGATATACCGGCTATTTGGAAAAATTCGAAGAAACAATCCAATGGCCTTCTAGAATTGAGCAAGGTACACCGGCTCATAGACTGTTTATTTCGCAAGCTCCCAATTGGAAAGGAATAGAACGGGGAAGACATGCTTTGCTAGCCATCAAAGCTTCAGCCCAGCTGTCTTATTACTGTCATCAAGAGTAAGTACCTTTTAGTTTTCTTTCGGAGACTTAGTCCAATTGTCAGAGAGTTGACCTCTAAAAATCATACGAACAAGCTGAATTTTGCTGAGAATATTAATTTTGGGACCTTAAAAAAGATGCAAAAAGTTTACCACTTTTACCCCCGAGCTTCCCCTAAAACTCCCCTCGCAGGGGGGAAAAAATACAAAAAAATCGATTTTTTATTTTAATTTTAAATAAAAATGTATATAATAATTTTTTGTGTAGAATTAACCGTTCTCCTAGACACAACGCTTAAGCGATCGTCAATTTTGCATGTCATTTATTTTTGCGAAATCAATATTCAATAAAATGCGTATCAGCTCGACGGTAAAAATTCGATATCTTTTGATCCAAATGTCCCATCGATACAAATCAAGATGCGTTTTAAAGTCAAAGAATGCACCTTTCGTATGCAGTTTTGGTAAAATTTCCATTATTAAAGATCAATCCTTAAATCCTATGACATGAAATTTTAATTTTATGTTATGGTTACAAATATGAGGCATTTGAAATATGAATAAAACACACAAAATTTAATGTTTTACATTACAATCGATCACACGGCACGAGAAATAGATTTAAGAAGATGGTTTTGAGTGAGTTTATTGCTGAAGTTTGATCCTTTTGAAAAACGTACTAGTGTAATTGAGAGGAAAGTTTTAAATTATTTAGATCTTTTGTTTACGAAAGTTAGTTTAAATCCAGCGTTTTTTAAGCATATTTTAAATGCCTCACATTTATTGCCAAAACTCAAATCAAAATTTAACGCTATAGATTTTAAAGGATAGGCTCTAGTTATCAAATCTGCACAGTCACCAATCAACGAAAGGGATGATTGTAATGATCTCGCGAGAATCATAAATCTGAGTTTAGTTGCGGCAAAATACAAAAACTGCATACGAAAGCTGAGCTTTACCTTTCAAACGAATCTTGATTTTTTTCGGTAGGTCACTTAAATAAAAAGATATCGAATTTTTACCGTGGAACTGCTAAAAAATTTTATTGAACATTGATTTCGAGAAAGTAACATAACATCTGTTTTATTAAAAAATGATTATCCTTTATCGTTTATAAATAAGGAATTTTCAACAATCGATCGAATAGAACAGAACAACTTAGAACGAGATCCTACAGCATACACAATGAATAATACGAGGAAAATAACAATACCGTACATAGAAGGATTATCAGAAAAACTTAAAAGGATAGGAAATAAATTCATTATTTCAACAACATTCAAAACAACAAAGACGTTGAGATCTATTTTGTCCAAAACCAAACCTAACAATGAACAAGAAAGGACAAAGAATTGCATTTATAAAATACTTTGTGAATGCGATCAGTTTTATTTAGGTGAAACATCAAGGCCATTAAATGTTAGAATAAGTGAACATCAATCTTATATTAATAATAGAGAATTTGATAGATCTCAAATATGTAAACACGTATGGGATAATAAACATAGGGTTCAATGGAATAATTCAAATGATGTCCTAAAAGAAACGGATGGTAAAAAAAAGAAAAAATCAAAGAAGTAGCTCTAATTATGCTAAATGAGACCAATTTTGTCGCAAATTCCTCGGCAGAATGTAGTAGGATCTGGTTACCAATATTGAAAGAGGAAGAGGAAGAGGAAGTTAATAAGAAAATACCAGTATTAGTAAGTCAGTAACATATAGAGTATACATCATTTATGTTTTTTAAATAACGAAACATGTAAAATCAGAATTTGGTGTTTATTGAAGGTAAACTAAATGCACAACCAAATACTAACCATGTCGGGATAGTATTATGAGGTTTTTTTCCTGGTTTTTCCCTCATAATTTATTATGGAATCACTAACAGCAGACTTTTACTGTCATCATGTCATGTGTTTGTCTTTTTAAAGACGAATTACATGCTATGATTTTTTCTGACGGATATTCTCAAGTTAAAGTTGATTTCATGTAATCGAATGAACTATCTTATAAGTAAAGTCTTCCCATGAGTCAACTCAACAATATTGGCAATATCATTTTAAAGCCGTCTACTTTAAAATGCATAATGTATGTCTGAATTGTCAATATAAATGAGTCAGCTAAAATTAAATTACTAGAAGAATTTTTCACAAAAAAAAAAACAAAATTTGTTTAATTTACTGTTTGTATTTTGGGAACGCAAACGGTCGGATAGCTCAGCGGGCTGTGCGGCTGCCTCTCATTCGCTTCACTGTCGAATGGTTCAGTGGATGTGGGATCGAGCCCCAGCTCGGTGTACAGAAAACAAAAAGTATAACGCAGCAGTTTAAAATTCTAGATGAATCTGCGGCTTAGACTAGGATATGCTGGGATCTGATCGGCCTATGGTGGAGCAGTACGGCAAGAGATAAGGGCTTGCGGCTCGGTGATACTCCTCCATAGATCCCTACCGGACGGGCGTAACGCCTAAAAAAAAACGGATATATATATATATATATATATATATATATATATATATATATATATATATATATTTTTTGGGAACGATTTCCGAAGTGCAAATTGAAACGTCAATAAACGTATTTTTACCTTTAATTGTGGCTTATTCCCAGTTAAATAGTAATTAATTTAAAATGCCACAAAAAAATAGCTTCAGAACAATAACATTTTTGTTTAAAATTATCTCACCTACATTTTTATTTGAAACATTTTTTCTACAGTGTACAGATGTTTAGTAAATTGATTTTTTTGCGTTTTTACCCACCTCCAGCGGGTTTAAGGGGGGAGCCCGGTGGTAAAAGTAGTAAACTATTTTGCATCTTTTTTGGGGTCCCAATATTAACTTACTCAGCAAGATTCAGCTTGTTCGTATTATTTTTAGATGTTCAGTGGCATTTTCGTCTCTGACGACTGGAGTAAATATATGTTGTTTGTTTTTTTGTATTACTAGGGTGGTCCGATAAGTACTTACCCTACAAAAAAAACACGAAAATTTAGGAATAGTGGCGATTTATTTTTCAACATAGTTCACTTTTACCTCGATTTACTTTACCAGCGATGTTTCAACTTCTTTAAACCGTCTGAAAAATACGTGTTTTCTCCATGCCTGAAAAGTAGGCTTCCGTGGCGGCGATGACCTCCTGTTTCGACTTAAATTTTTACTCAGCGAGTGCTTTTTTGAAGTTTAAAAAGAAAAAATGTCACACAGGCTCAAATTTTAGAGAATATGGTGAATAGAGCAACAGTTCATAGATCAATTTCGCCATGGCGACAGAGGAGGTATGACATCACTGACAAAATATTAATGTTCAGCCACCCAAAAAATCCCGTAACGAGTTTGCACTGATTTTTATCGAATTTTCACAGAACTCTAGTTCTGTAAAAATTCGACAAAAGAATCGAGACGGACCTGCCTCTCTAGAGACAGGTCCGTCCTTGGCACCAGGTGTCTCGCACACTATGGTTAACACAATATTAGTGTTTATTTACCCCAAAAAACCCCAAAGGAATGAGTTTGAACTGATTTTGGATCGAATTTCCACAAAACAACAGAAGACGAGGCCCAGGTGTACCAGGTGCCTCAGAGACCATCGCCGTCACGATATTTGTATATTGAACTCATTTTCATTGTTCAATAATGCACTTTTCACTTCTACATCATAATTTTTCTTCACAAAATTTCCTGGCACTCGTACGAATCGAATGCACAAAGTTTCATTGACTTAAGACATTCAATTAATTGCTGAAAAATCATTTTAAAATACGCTATTTTATGTAAAATTTTGTGGGGAATCCAAATTTATATTCCGGATAGCATTTGGATTTAGACATAATAAATTGAATGGAATATCATTTCATCTTCCGATATAAGAGCTTTTCTTATTTTTACCTTAAAGTATATACTTTTTAACAACTTTTCCTAAATTTTAAAACAAAAAAAAAATGATAAATTTTTGAGATATGATTTTTATTTTAGAAAAAATGGGGAATCCCTGAATTTTCCTTGATATTTAGGCTTATTTTCACATCATTAGGATTAGGATCATCTGCAGCGGAAAATTTTAAGTCGAAAATGCATTTTTTGTAATTTTGAGCATCTATGCAAGAAAATACAGGAAAACATTTTTGTTCTTGAAAAAAATTTACTTACGCATATAGATCGCAATTTTGGACCTAGAACATTTTATTTACATTTTATACGCCTATAAAATTTAAGGAAAATCGAGAGGGTTCACCTGATCAACTTTGCATAGTTGACGTGGAATTACTACTAACTTATATTTTTAACTTCAAAATAAGAGTAAGAGAAAGCAACAAGGGACTATAGTTCGTGGGGTTGAATCTCTCATAACTTGTGTCAATTTCTAACTTTATTTCTTTTTATAAAGATGTTTTGAATACGAGATTTCCTATGGTTTATTTATATTACAATGTTTTTAGAAAGGAAATAAGTTTGGAGACATGTAGCAATATTTTGCTCCATTACAATTTTTATGATTCATCTCTTGAAGATTTCTGTAGATATCTACAAAGAAATTGCACGACTGTCGATGAGTTCAGTGGTTTTAGATCAATAAACGGATCATGCAATAATTTTAATAAAGGAAGTCTTGGAGAATCATATACAGCATTCGAGAGGTGAGTTACTATCCTAACCGAATATAGCATAATTTATCGTGGATTATTTATAGAAACATATTCTTCCCACTTTATCTTCTTCTTGATGTGCCCATCCGTTACTAATGTTGGCTATCATCATGGCTTTATCTTATTTGTAGCAGCGCGGAAAGGCTGCACAGATGTTTTATTGAACCAGATTCCGAGGTTCTTTAACCAAGATGTTCTTCTTCTTCCTGGACCTCGTTTTTTCAAATATTTTACTTCCAGGATAGCTTGAAGGAGAGAATATCTGGATTCATTTCTCATAATATGTCCGAAGAATTGTAACTTTCGAGATTTCAGTACCTCTCGGTCCTTATTCATTCTTCTGAGGACCTCCTCAGTTGTGACTCAGTCAGTCCACGGGATCTTAAGTATTCTCCAATATAGTCACATGTCAAATGCTATTTGTTCTTGCTAAATATCCTGTTTTCTATATATACCTTCGTTCAAGGTCCACGATTCAACACTATAAAAAAGGACAGAGAAGACGTAACATCGCAGCATCCTTACTTTTGTATCAAGAGAGAGGTTGTGACATTTGAAGAAGGCCCCCATCCGATTGAAGGTGGATATAGCTTTTCCGATGCGCGCTCTAATCTCCTGGTTGTTGGTCCATTCTTCATTTATTATGGTGCCGAGATAGTTGTAGTGCGTCACTCTTTCTACAGGGGATTAGTTGACATAGAGTTGACCTTCTGTTATCCTTTTCTTCCGTATTATCATAAGTATTGTCTGCTTAAGGTTTATATTGGGTCCATATTGTTGACTTTAATACGTGATTTTGTCTATAAGAACTTGTAGTTCAACAACAAGAAGTTGTCCGCAAATACTATGCTGTCATCTGCATATCTAATGTGTAGCCGGTAACTATTTAGTAGAATACCTTTTTCAGTTTCGTGCAAAGAGCAGATTGCACGAAACATACATACAGCATTGCCTCACTCCTCGCATGATTTTCACATAGACAGTGTGTTCACCTTCAACTTTGAGATTTGCTATTTGATTCCAGTAAAGATTTCTAATTATTTTCAAATCTTGGTTTATCACCTTGCTAAAATATTTACCAACTCTTTCTTTAATTTCACTAGTATGCTTTTTTAGTCTAATATATGGATTAAAATATTAATTAAGTTATATAAATTATAAAAATTTAAATTGTTTCCAAGACAAATATATTAACTTAACACGTTGTTTTGATTATTAGGTTACTACCAGCCGTTTACTTAAATAATTATGAAGCACCCAAACGCTCTCTTACTAAAGCAACTTTACCGAGTGCTAGAAAAATTAGTAACGCTATCATTAGCAATAAACCTAATCCACATGAGTCTCTTACGATGGCATTCAATCTATTTGGACAATTTATAGAGCATGATTTGAGCAGTATAGCTGTATCTGTAATGAGTAAGTAACACATAAATATTTATTTATTTATTGATCAAGTTTCTCAAGCTTCTTAATACAATTTGAATAAAACGTAGCAAATGCATTTACTTCAAATCAATGTTGCAAAACCTTTACAGTCTTATTAATAAAAATTGTTTAGGGTAAGGTGGGGCAAGTGCGCCCCCTTTTATTCATATTTGGTTTTAATTGTATCAATGCTTCAATTGGGTTATTTCTGCCAAATCGATAATACGTGCACTAAGTACTTTGACAATGATCTTTATTTAGAGAAGATTCCAAATCTGTGGCTTTTCGCGATTATTAATTATAATTTTTTTTCTCTTACATATCGCAGTAACGCACTTGCCCCGTCAGTTTGGGGCAAGTGCGTCTCCGGGGCATAGTTTTATATATTTTCCTTGCGTTGAATTACGGGTCAAGTGCACTTATTTATTAGGCTTTTCTGAACACAGTTCTGATTTTTTTTTTTAATTTTCATAATTTTGAAAACAAAATAACTTCAGAAGGGTCTAATGACACACCACAAAATGAGAAAGTACTTTATTTAAGGGCAAAAATTGTACAGTTTACCTTAATTTATGTTGGATATCTTGCGGAAACTTGATATTAAAATTATGCATTCCCCTCCTAACATGTGGAGCGGGTAATACTTTAATGATATCCTCTTTTGCTACAAGTGATATATCTTCCACCTGAGGAAAAACAAAGCACTTTGTTTTTTTTTCTCAGGAACTTTACCTGGGTATCACTTTCTAGCGAGAGAAATCACGTGGCCTATATATAAAATGTCATTTCTGTCCCGACTTTGACTTTTGAAAGCCACCAGAACCCAGTCTCCCACAGAAAATTCAGGTGGAGAACCAAGAAATAGTTTCTCCTCGTCGTCGTCTTCTTCTTCTTCTGACGAAATCTGGCCCACGAAATCGCTACCTTCAGACTCATCGTGTAGAGAGATCTGATCGTCCTGATCTTCATCACTTGAGTCTTGGAAGGTGCCTTTGCTGGGTCCGGCAGTGATCACTTCACTACCTGCTGCAATTCGCTTCTTCTTTTTTGCTGGAGTTGGTGTTCCGCTTTTTACGGTTTGTAGTAGAAGATGTTCGAAAGATACTGGACATCTGAAAAACAGAGAAAAAAAATCATAAGGTTACGAGAGTAGCTCGCTAAAATCCTACAATGTCCATATTGTTGAAATAAGATACTCACGAGTTTGTCTCGAAGGTGGCAACATCTGTCACATCTGTAGAAGTCTCTTGGCGCTGATCTCTGACGTCCGCTAAAATCTGCCATCGCCTTAAAGAAGAAGCCTCGTAACGATCTTCGGGTACAACTTTATCATCAAATGGAAAGATAACTCCTTTCTTAAATCCATTTTTGATAACTTCTGGGTTGATTGTTGTCCATATTTTCCCAATCAGATTAGAAAAAACTTTTTTGGAAAGTCTCCGACCAGCAAACTGTCGCTGCCACTTTACGAGTTCTTCGTCCCACATTGATTTTAAAGCTTTGAACACCGCTAAATCCAATGGCTGGAGAATGTGACTTGTGTGAGCCGGTAGTTTGAGGATGGTGATTCCTTCCGATCTCGCGTAATTGACCAAATCTGCCGTGAGGTGCGTTGAATGTCCGTCGTAGATAACTAGTATAGGCCGATCAGGACCAATGTTTTTTACAAAAGTACGCTCAAAATAGTTTCGAAATACAATAGCTTCAATCCAGCCGTTTTTAGTAGCGGCATAGGCAGTACCAGGGAAGGCATCATGTTCGTCGGCCATCCATTCATCCCAGATATTTTTGCCTTTAAAAACAATTAATGGAGGAATTTTTTCGCCAGTAGCGCTTGCTGCCATCACCACTGTAGTGTTCTCTCTTCCCGGTCCACTGGTGGTTCTTGTGCATGGTGCTCCTTGCTTCCCAACAACTTTTGTTTTAGAGGGGTCACTCGAAAATCCAGTTTCATCTATATTGTAGATTCTCTCAGGTTTGTCAGCAAGCCCCAAAGATTGAATGGTTTCGCTCAATAATTTAAAATAATCTTTAACAACAAAAGGATTCATGGCTTTCTTTCTTGCAAACTCAACTATTTCCGGTTTCTTTATTGACAGCCGATGTCTTCTTTTAAAATTTAAGAACCAGTCTTCACCTGGTCTACCATCTTTAAATTGAGTTTTCACGTTGTTTGATTGGACGAATTGTTGGGTTAATTCTAAAACTTCTTTACGGGACAAACCGAATCCCCATTGCTCCATCGTGCGAAGACCTTCTGCCAGTCGCCTTTCTTCTGCCAATGGAATGTCGGTAGGTCGACCTTGTCCTGATACCTTCGCGCCTCTTCTTCCACTCAAGTGATCCCGTAAAGTTGTCACAGGAATATTGTATGCGCGCGATGCTCCCTTGACAGTGAATTCTGATTTCTTATATCCATTAAGGCATTATTAAGCACTTCTGCTGTATATTGCGAACCTCTCTCCGTCTTTCGGACGTAATTTCGGACCATCTTTACCTAAGAATTAAAAAATTGTATTCAGATTTTATGCCGGGGCAAGTGTGTTAAGGTAAGGACGCACTTGCCCCCACACAAAAAACGCACTTGCCCCATCTGATAAATCTCTGGGGCAAGTGCGCACCTTTTAATTACTAGCAAACTATAGCGAAAAATCATAAATGGTATCAAAACAATTCAATTTTCTGCATTATTAATCGAAAATATTCAATAAAAATTAAAATCTAGTAAACGGTACGAGATTAACAAGACTTAGAATAAACACTTACCTGCTCTTTGTATAACCTCAAACGTAACTACCAACAAACACGTGTGATACTATGTCGTGAATTCAACGACGTTGCCACTCATATGTGTAGCTGTTTCGTTTAATACTTGGCGCTAAATTTGAAATCGGTTTCATACCCAACTTCACGTTACAAATATTTTTATTTAGTCCAAACGCACTTACCCCGGGTACGCACTTGCCCCACCCTACCCTAGTCCGAAGTTAGTCTTGGACTAGTTAGTCCCAGATTAAGCGAGTGCTAACTTCATTTTTAGAATGTTATTAATAAACATGGACTAAGCTCAGACTAACTAAACCTTCCTTAGTTCTAGATACAACAAGTTTATGTTGGCAACCATTGCGAAAAAGAAGAAAAATGGAGAGAATTTTGTGAAAAAGAAGAAAAATATTTGAGAATTAAACAGTTAGCATAAGTTGGAGCACGTAGTTAATTTTAGTTGGACTGTGTTCTGAGAGAGTTTGTTTATATTTTATAGTATTTTTTTATCTGAAAAGTTTAAACTTCATAAAAGTTCAGGAGGAAACTTTAAACAATATTTTATTAGAAAGGGAAAATATAAAAAATACTAATAAACATAATGAATTGTAAAATATTTTATTAAATAAATTTGATATATTTTAATATGTCTTAGATGAATATTATTTCACTGATTTCTATGGTGATTAAGTTGTTCTATTAATCTTAAGTTGTTGATAAAATAATCTTCCATTATTAAATAATGTATATGAATAATCAAAAGCAATTCAGATTATGAATACCAAAACAAAACTCCACTCAATGTCAATTGTCAAGTTAGTCACTCTCTAAACCTGCAACTACCTCGGATTAAATGTTAGTCAGATACTAGCCAAGGTTTAGCTTAGTCTGTCCTTAGTCGCTGTTTATTAATACGAAAAATGAATGTTATTGGTGTAGTCCTGGGACTAATGTTAGTCCAAGGTTAGTCCATGTTTATTAATAAGAGAGTTAAAGTATATGATAAATAAGTTTGCAGCACTTGCTTTACAACCAAAGCAAAAGAATCTGCTGTACCATAAGCAAATACTTCAACTTATATAAATAAAATCATGCAGTTGCTAGACCTACACAGCAGAAGTTTCATTTTTCTAAAGGTATCTACAATGCAGACTTACACTTATTAAATTTACATGTGTGGTAATTATGGCATTTCTAAATAATGTAAAAGTCGCTTGCAGTTACAAAAGACGCCTAGAACTATCACCAGTTGATTTTAGAAATCTTTTTTCTTTCAACAAAACAAACGTGCATTGATTAGCCAACCATTTCTGAGGCGAGAAAAATAATGAGAAATGAGGTGGTTCATTATCATCGTTCCACAAAATAAAAGTGTTTTCGTGTTATGTAGCTGATCCGGCCTACCAAGCCAGTATAGGAAAATAATTGGAATCCACCAAAATACTGTATCAAAAACATTTGCAGTGGTAATGAAGAAAATTTGACAGAAAGCAAATCAATGGATTAAGTGTCCATTTTCCAATGAGGAAATATGTCTTTGGCACTCTGGTAACCAGTTTATTCGTTTTTAGCCGCAACTGGATTTCTGGATTGAATATATATACCGCACAGGTTTTGCTTACATTAATATTCAAGCAGTCTGTGACGTACAGAAAAAATTTACAACTATAGATGTACAATGGCACGGTTCTATTCATGACAGTAGAATCTGGAAAACGTCTAACATTTGTTTCATTATGGATAATGTGAAGGATATGGATTTAAACCTTTTTTCAAAACGCCCTAATCGAAACTCAAATAGACTACAAGAAACCCGATACAATAATTTGTTGAAGAAGAAAAAGGGGTATATTGAACGTTGCTTTGCCAGTTAAAGCAAATATTTTTCATATTGTAATATCTCTATTAAAGTTTGAAAATATTCCTACACTAATTAACAGCATTGCGTTATATTGTCACATATGCATTAGAGACATGAATATTAAAGGTCACCAATCGAAAACAAAAAATAGATGCCTTCAAAATGAGAATTTACAACAAAATGTAGGCAAATATAATAAAAGATAATTACATTAACATTTTAGTATTAAAGAGACGTTATATAAAAAATTAAAAATAAACAAAAGACTTTCAACAAAAATAAATCAGTCCTCAGATACTTCGGACACAACGCAAAGATCAGAAGGCCTAGAAAAACTTATCATCAAGAGTAAAATCAATCGCAATCG